ACAAAACTTCCTCCAACTATGTTGATTTGCATCCCTTATAACTCTTCTTGCTACTGCCCTTAAACGCTTATACTCAATTGCATTAATCAATATTGGGTATTTTCTTAATCGTCTATATGCTACATTCCTATTCTTTACAGCTTCATCACATTCTTTATTCCACCAAGGAACCAGCACACGGCACTTAGGTTTCTGCTTCATTGTAATGGCATGACAAGCAGCCTCATGTATCATATGACTAATGGAAGTATTCCAAGTATCTACAGAACCCTTACTATAAACCTCTCCTACTAAGCTTAAAGCTTTCTCCTGAAATTTATCCCATTTAGCCTGAGAGAAATTATATCTAGGGACTATCTCTTCTACTTCACTTCTCAATTCCCTACCAAATTTACATACAATTGGGTAATGATCACTGCCCATTGTATATGAATCTAAAACATCCCATTCACCTACTGTAGCTAAGTTTGAGGAAGCAATTGATAAATCTATATGACTACAAGTATTTCTCACTATCTGATACCTAGTTGGCCTTCCATCATTTAACACTACCAACTCATACTTATCTAAAAATTCTTCTATTATAACACCATTTTTGTCCCTGTGATCACTACCCCATATTGGATTATGCGCATTAAAATCTCCAACCCATATAACAGGACATCTTACCTTCTCCATTATCTCATCAAAATCTGACATTACCAAAGATTGACAGGGGTTATAATAATTTATCACAGAAATAGGATTGTAACTAGTCCAAATCTCCACAACCAAACACTCCATCTTAGAATTAGTATCAACTTTCCTATACTGCAACCCATTTTTAACAAAAGTTGCACATCCCCCACCTGATCTATCAGACCTATCTAATCTAATACATTCATATCCTGGAATTACAAAATCTAACCGTGGTTTTAACCATGTCTCTTGGATGCAAATCAATTCTGGTACTTCTTTAAATTCATCAACAAAACGCTTTAATTCCTGACCATTACCAATCAAACTCCGGGCATTCCATTGAAGTATATACCACATTAAGATGTTAATGAGGGTACAAATCCTCTTCCCCATCAACATCCTCCATACTACTAGCCCTCAACAACTGTGACCTTTCCTTACACTGACTTTCCGTCATATATTGATGTAATTTGTCTGGCAACTGCTTTACATTAAAGTATCTTTCCGCTGCCTCCACCACTAACCTGATAATATCTGACCGATTAGCTGCTTTCTTAGCTCCCACCAACACATCTGAAACAAAAGACAGAAAAGACTCCTTATTAAAAAACAACATGTCAGATGGAAGCGCAGACGGCAAATTTGGCTCAATACTCTGGCTTCCTGACACCACTTCATCCCCAGATCTTCCATTTCCACGCTCTCTTGCCACTCTTTGAACTGCCTCTGCATACGACACCTTGCTCTGATCCTTCACAAATTGTACATGCTTAGCCTGAACAAAGCGTTCACAACCGTAGAACCCTGCTACATGATTCCCATCACAATTAGGGCACTTTGGAGCCTCTGCCTTACGGTTTTGTATTGAATGATCTCCACCACACTTTGCACACCTTTTTTTCCCCCGACAAGACCCAGCAACATGTCCAAACCTCTGACAATTATAGCAGCGCAACGGTGGTTTAACATACTCCCTCACATTATATGCCATACTCCCTAGGAACACTTTCTGTGGCAGTATACCATCTTTAAACGTTAAGAGAACTGGTGGATCTCCGGCTCCATCTCTTTGCTTAAATCGCACCACTTCAATTACCTGGGCCCCTTTAACGTTTTCTAGGATTTCTTTCTCAGATAAACCTGCAAACACTCCATACACCACTCCCTTGACTCCCTGTTGACTTCCTCTAGGAACCAAAGCTTCCACCTTGACCACCAATTTCCCCACACCTCTAGCATCATCATACTGTTTCCTATTTTTACAACACACTCTTAACATTCCGTTATACAATATCTTGGCCTGAAAATCCTTGCCGATCTGACTTTCCAAAGCACTGGTAACCTTTAATGGATTCAATGCTCTAAATCCTGCATCCCCCTGATCATTGCCCTTAACCTTAAACAACACAACAAACTCTTCACTTCCCCCAGATTTCCTAATTTTATTTCCTTCATCTCCTGGCATTCCAGGTCTTTCACTCGATGCTCCCCTCTTAGAGTCTCCCTTATCCCTAAACAATGAAATTGTTTTTTACTATGCTTTAAATTGTGGTTTGTATTTTCTGCTGATCAAGTTGTGTGATGTATTATTTTTAATTAATTTAGTTGATGTTTAATCCTGCCTGGCAAAATAAATGTTAAATTTTGATTTATTCTGGATTCTCCTGAAATCATTATGACCAGTAAATCATAGGAGGCTAATGCTACCGTAAATCTGTGTCCAGGATAGAACAAACTGAAGGCTCGTGAATGAAAGGAGCAGTAGGCACTTCATCTGAAGACCTTTTGATTTCTGTCTATCACTGATTTAGCAAGAAAGGGGGAAAAAAACAAAAAATGACAATGACAATGGCTTTTCCAGTGCAGAGCATAAACTGATCACCTGAAACGCCTAACTTTCCCCCTCGCCGACTCAATCCCACGTCGGTCCTCGGTAGTTTTATTGATAAAGTCACAGGGCACCGCTGACAACAACAAGTGCTCTCTGTCCGATGATCGTTTCCGTCCTTATCTATCTGTGTGTGTGTGCGTGCACGCGGGAGAGAAAAAGATAGAGCGTGCTTCAAAATGTAATCAAAAAAGTTAAGTGTAATTTTATCTTATTGTTTCTCATATTTATTCAACGTCTTTGTGGTTTTGGTTCTTTAGCTGTGGTAGGCTGCAAGAGTATTTGAAATAACTGAAATAATTTGGCGCAGTGATATGGACCTGCAATGCGATCAAAACCTACCCGGAACTACTTTAGTTGTGCAATTAAAAAGAAAAAAGAAAGAAGGAAGTGTTTTTATTTATATTCATGGAGTTTTCCGAACCCCCTGGACTTAGACAATTACAGGTAAAATCTGTAATTCCTGCTCTAGTTTCAACAAAATTAAAATAATAATAACAATAAACTAATAATATTTGTTTAGAATTGGTTTTCGAAAAATGCTGATAATCCCACCCCTTGGGACAACCTGTGGGACGATGCACAGAAAGGAGAGTGCCGTTGGATTCTGTGGCTTCACCAACATCTTCAAATTCAACATCCAATTCCACAAGCAACAGAAACGGCTCTGCTAGAAAGCTGCAGGATGGCCCAAAAGACTGTTGCTCCCCTCGGAAATCCAAGAGAGAAGGTCTGGAGCTGCTCCTGAACAAACCATTGACTGTCTTGAGGAGTCTTACTCCCAAAAGAAAGAACCTTAAACTAAAACTTAAGCTATAGAAAGAGTTGTAACTGATATCAGCATTAGTACAGCCTGCTGCCTTCTGCGTTTTGACAAAGAAAACTAATTTTAAGTGTCAAAAATAAAAGTATTTTAATTCCAGTCTGTGCACATATTTAATTGTTTTTTAACTAACCATGTGTGAACTAACCAAGATGCACTCTTGCAGGGTTGCCAAGTCTGTGATTAACTTGTCATGGCCTGATTTAGTGATTTATACTTTCAAAATGCTGTTGCAGGTTTTTTTTTTCTTAAAGATTTGACATTAATATTTGTATTTGACTGAAATGCAGCAGTATGTTTCATTCTACCATCCATAAAACTTTGCTAGATGTTATTTTTTTGTGAGAGAAGCAACAGACTAAGACCTAGTCTCGGACTAAAATGCATGTCTGGGCTGTTTTAACTGAAAGACATTTGCACTGATATATCTTAAAACATGTCAGTGTTATTAATCTGTCTCAAGACACACACAGGTAATGTTTTTTTTCTAAAGTAAGTTTAGAAGAGATACTTGTTTTAATTGAACTGTGGCCTAATCCTGGCTTAATTTAAGCCCTGTCTGTGAAACCAGGCTTATAATTACTGCAAGACTCTGCAAAAAAAAAAAATCAACTCCTTTTAATTCCAGCAAATTTCGTTACATGTAATATTTGCATGGACATAAAAAAATAGTCTCCCTGTAGCACTGTCTTAGGCTCCTTATATTTCAGACATTGCTCTGGCCACATCTGCAGTCCTCATGCCTCTCTGCAGCAGGACTATGGCATGTTAAAGAATCCTGCACATTCTTCTTCTGGTGTTTCTCAGTCAGTAGAAAGGTCTCTTTACTGTCATAAGTTATTGTAACTTACCTTTATTGCCTACAACCTGTGAACAGTAACTGTCTTAAGGACTGTTCCACAGGTGCATGTGCAATAATTGTTTATGGTTCACTGAACAAGCAAAAAATCATTGTTTAAACCCTTTCCAATAAAGATGTATAAAGCTTATTTGAACTTTTCAAAATTATCTTTAAAGTACTCTCATGAAAAAGGGATGTTTCTTTTTTTGTTGTTTTTTTTTAGTTTATATAGTGATTTTCAAGTTGAATTTGTGTATAATGCATAACAGCGAATAAAAATATGTATTTTAGGTATGGGAATGGCATGTTTTGATATTTAGGATAGGGCCATTGGGCTAGTTTTGTTACACAGACCTGGAAACCCTGCTAGTTAGTTGGATTGCATTGAAAAAAACTTCATGGTAAGCAAAGTTTTTATTCAATAAGAAACTAAAGAAATTATTGAGGACAGCTAATACGATTGTTCTCATTCTTCCCAACAAGAACGTAAGACTTCAAACGTGACATTCTGGCAAGAAAAGCAAACTTTTTCCACCCTTTTTTTTATTAATATCATTGTCCTTTAACATAGTTACAATCTGTTTTTATGAAAATAAGTCAGTAGAAAGAATTCTTTAAAAAGTCCAACAAGTCCTCCGTTTGTACGGTCCTGCTTTCATTTCAAACATGAGATAAAAACTCTCAGACCCTCTGTAAAGTCTCGGCTCCACTCTGACGAGCCACAGCGTCCAAACAGGACAGAGCGTCAATCTTTATTTATGATGGGCACGGGGGAAAGGTCTGTTCAGCATGAAAAGATAAAAGGCTTGAACCTGAAGACGCCTATCTGCTTTCCACTATTCCAAAATGAACCTCCAAATGCAGTAAAATCTTTAATCAGTTTAAGATCCCTGTACTTCATGTTACAGTCTGGGTTCACTACCGTTAGCGGTAATCGCTCTTTGAAGTACATTACCATGAATTTTTATGGGTGGGCCATTGGGGAACATTAAGTAACCCTCTCCTTTAAGGCAGTCTGTCTTGTTTGTATGTCTGTCAGTCTATGCCAGTCTGGATGTAGGTTCTCCAGGCTTAGCTGCCCCCACTGCGCCCGTCCTCACACTTAACCAAACTCTCAGGCTTGAAATAGCCAAGGAGTCCAGTGGTTAGAGATTGTAGAGGCTTGTCTCCCAGGCTCCACTGCATTTGAGTCCAGAGAAAGAGTTGTGCCCCTGCAGGAGGAGTGTGTTTGGGCAGGCTGCCCCTGAGTGACTGGAGCAGATGATTGGCAGGTAGTCTCCAGTGACGTCACAGTCGCAGAGGGGGCGTGGTTATGCTGGGTGTGGTTGGCGTGGAGACGAGGGTTTGTCCTCTCAGTCGCTGTCAGATCCTACTCCTTTCCGTTTTCTCTTGGGAGCTTTGGGTTTGGAATCCTCTTCCTCCTGGAGAAGCGTCAACAAAGGGCATTTTAAACAACATAATAATATGTGTGCTGGCCTGAAGGCTTTCGTTATGATGTCATATTGTGAGTGTGGATTTACCGAAGCGCTGCTGGACGCGCTCTCCTCATCATTGCAGGTTTGAGGAGCCGCACCCTTGCGGGATCGTGGAGAAGACGCTGGGGCTCTGCGTCGAGGTTTATGTTGTTTGGAGGAATCCTCATACTCCTCAGCTAATGAGAAAAGATCACTGAATCTGGCAGAAGAAAAGAAAAAATGGACAGTTAGTCAAATAAGAACTTGAAAATAGAATAAAACAAGATAAAAAAAGATAAACTGATCAAATAAAAAAATAAAACACCTCATTTTGTGGGCCTCATCGCAGCTGGCCTGAACATGCTGTAGGGCCTGTAATATTGGCGTCTGGGAAAAGACTGATACACCAACAGGAACAATTCAGAAAGCATTGTTTAAATCAATATGAACAGTGAAAAAGACAACCAGGCTGCTAAGAATTTAGTGGCGTTTCAAGGACTGTAAGAGCTTGATATTGAACTCACAGTTGTTCTTGGTGTTACTGAGATTGTGTCTCAAACTGTCCAGATGTTCCAGCATCTGTTCCAGGGTCAGCTGAGCCAGTTTACTGCTGGAGCTCCTCAAACTACACAAAAACACAACACAAATGTGTGTCTCTTTAAAAATTTCAACAAGTTAGAGGTTGGTAAGATTTTGTAATGTTTTTCAAAGAAGTCTCTTATGTTCACCAAGGCTGCATTAATTTGATAAAAAAATACAGTAAAAACTGTAATATTGTGAAATATTATAGCCGTTTTAAATAACGGTTTTCAATTTTAACACATTTTAACATGCAATTTATTTCCGTGATTTCAAAGTTGAATTTTCAGCATCATTACTCCAGTCTTCAGTGTCCCATGATCCTTCAGAAATCATTCTAAAATGCTGATTTGCTGCTTATGAAACATTTATGATTATCAATGTTGAAAACAGTTGCGCTGCTTAATATTTTTGTGGAAACCCTGATACATTTCAGGATTCTTTGAATAGAAAGTTTAAAAGCATTTTAAATAGAAATAGAAATATTTTCCATTTAATGCATCCCTACTGAATGAAATGAATTTCTTTAAAAACAAAAACAAATAGTGATTCGTTATTTCGATTCAGTAGATGCAAAATGTTTAGGGCAAATAAAGATTTACTTAAAATAGTATTTTCCACATAATTATTCCTAGCATGAACACACAAAAGCATGTTTAATAATTTATTTGAAGGATATTTAATAATAGATTTGTGAAATAAATCAAACTCCAGCAACATTTGCTACAGAGGTTTAAATAAGAGTTGCTGTTAAATATTTTTGTCTTAGTGCCATCATACTTGCAAGTCATGACAACAAGTGGGCAGAAAACTGGCCCACTGGCAAGATCTTCAAAATATTGGTTAATTTTACAGTATAAATATTTAAACTATTTGATGTTTCTCCAGTGCTATAGACCCTGGGTTCAATCCACTTGAGCTTGAGTGTCCCGAGCCCAGGGTCTTAAACACTCAGCACCCACCTTTCAGTTCAGAGGGCTGAATATGTCATTACCTCTGTCGTTTACGGGGCATGTTGTTGTTCTTGATGAGCAGTGCTTTGATGTGTTCTCCCAGCAGGTCGTCATGTTTTGCCGCCCAGTGCCGCAGGATGCTGGTGGTGAACTGGTCCTCTTGGTGATAAGGTCGGCTCAGCACCATCTTCACCATCTCCTCACTCGGCCTTCAGCACAACACAGCAAAAAACAAAACAAAACAAAAGAAAAAGATGACTGTGTCCCACAAAAGACAAGATAAATAACCATCTGAGTGAAAAGACTTACTTTTCTCTTCGTAACTGCAGCAGCAGGCAGGACAGAGCTTCAGGATGTTCTGTGAGTAAAGGGAGAATAGGATTATGGGTGGAGTGAGTATGTGTAGAGTGACAGCATGTCTATGGAGAGAGACGCTCACCCTTGTATTTGAGGTGCTGTAAAATGGGTATGATGGTCTCCAGAGGGATACTGTGCGCCAGGAAAAGCTGCCAAGTGCTGTACTGCTCAAACGTCTCCCAGTCCAGAGACTGAACTAAAACACACAGATGCACAGAACAAAATGAGCTTTACAAAGCAATGGAAGAATGTCTGGCACATTCACACGGATAAAAGCACTAGATTAAATCTGTTGTGTGATGCCACATTTGTCAGGGTGAAAAACTAATTTTTCCATTAAGAATCAATATTTTAATAATTAAATGCGTTTAAATGTGTTCAGTGATCATCATATTCTAGCTACACAGACAAAACAAGCTAAACATTTATGTAATAGTTTATTGCATTTTTTTTTATGCGTTAGAAAATCAAGACCTCACATTAGTTATTTTAGTAGCATAAAACATGGTTATTCACACTGGCAACAAATTATATACATAAAGTGAGCAAAGAACACTGAAGTGGTCCATGACTTAAGTATAACGCAAGTTATGCACTTAATTTTTTATTCATATCCACATTTCACTTTAATCGTGACACCCGTAACAGATTTAATTACGCAAGGGTATCTTTTGCACCCTTATCTTGAGTTTGGGGGGCATTTCAAACTTGGTGCTTGGTTTGTTTGGTTTAACTATACAATTTGAACATAGATTTGTGGGGTCAGACAGACAACCATCAGAGCTTGAAAACCGCCGTAAACTTACTGAGGATGTTGAGTACTGAGTCTTTACGGAACATCACCAGATTACCCATCATCACGTGACACATCAGCTCCTGAAGCTGTGAGGTGAAAACAAGAGTAAGAGGTTAAAA